GCTGATTTACGGATTATCTATTTAGACAGCCGTGAGTTTACTTATCTCACATGTACAATTCACTTACCCCTGCAGCTGCGCTGCATCGACAGAACTACATCACATGAGCAGCGGACACATCCGACAGTCCCGAGGTCAACACCGCGAAGACCATTGTCAACAGCAAATTTTCACTCGGCTTTGATAAAACCAATGTCAACGTAGGATAGGGCCGTCCAAAAATTATGTTACATATTCTTTGCCATTTTTCAACTAACCCCTCTATCTCTGGTTGCGCGCTGATTACGCTGGGCGAAGCCACCTCCCTTTAAGTACGTTTTGTTAAGATAACACAGTAGTAATCGCCCTATTCCTCGGAGAAAAATCAGGAGAATGGAAATATAGATGGGTTGATATTCCGGCAACATGCCTTTATCGAAACAATACCAGAAGTAAGGTTTCGATAAAGGAATGTTGCCGAAATATCAGCCTATCTATAGCTCCATTCTGCTGTTTTTTCCGAGGAATAAGGCTATTACTACTGTCTTATCTACGTGAATAATGTTTCACGCGAATGCGCTAGACAACTTACGTTTTGTCAAGCACAATATCCAAGCAACAACGGAGGGAGTGTTGCCTGCCATGAGAAAAAGCCAGCGGTATCCGGCACTAGGATTTAATAATATTTCACTTAAATTTTGATGATTGTCAACCACACCAGTGCGTAACATTACGCTGTCCAGCCCCAGCTCTCTACCTCGTACGCTTCGGTTACGCCTCATTAAAATCCCCTCTCGTCCTCCATACGTAACGTAATGTATGAACGGCCATATATGAGGATACATGGACGACAACATACGAACAAAGTTAACACAGTACACTTGCAAAAGACCTGAGAAGACCCACGGACCTCGTGTTGTTTCACAAACACACAAGCACGCACATCGTTGCGTCTGCCTAGAGCCACACGTGTGCTAGGAGCCGACCGACCTGGCGGCACCGATAACGCTGAGGAGTGAGCGGCCCAGTAGCCCAGTCCAGTGCACACATTGGCACAACGTGCACACCCCACATGGCTACATGGTGAACTGTGCTAAATGCCACTCTCAAAGGGACACTGGGTGCATAGAAAAAGCTCAGCCATGGTCAGGCGCGCTCTGACTTATGCGCTTCCGAGAGGTGCATCTATTCTGTTGTTGGCAACAGAGGTGTAGAAAAAATGAGCATTTCGTTTTCAAACGGACATCAGCTATATTGGGGGTAACAATGGACTCCACTGAGGTGACTCCGACACGACGGAGTAACTAACGCGCGTAACGCCACACCACTCAGGAAACGCGCGGTCCCTAGGCAACTGCCGGCACTGGCCCGCCATCTAGCGTCCACAGCGTCAACTCCAGCGCGATCGCAGCTGAGGCCAGGCGCTGCACGCGGTGGGCGCGCCATATAACCGATGTCGGCGACCAGATTGCCGGTCGAAGCACCTCGCTCTTCAGACGGATCGTTGGCACCGCTCGTGGCAGTCGATGTCTGCAGGCCTTGCCGGTGGGTCTCTCTAGCACCACTACCATCGGGGCGTCATCGCACCACTCCGAATGATCCGTCTGAAAACGGACGATCACGCACGTCAATACCGTTCGTGGCGGTCTTGGATTGCATTGACAATGCCTGCCGCCCAGTGCCAGATGTCAACTATAACGTAGTATCTTGTAGCGGTATACGCGGTCAGTAAGGAACCATTATGTTCTCATTTAGGATACAAAGCATGGCAATCAGTTCACGGGATAGCAGCTTCAAAAATGGCATACTGGCATTCAAAATAGCTCACGATCATCAAATCATTTTGATGATCAGAACACTTACTGTAAAAATACACAAAATATTGCCTTTGGCATTCAAAACAGGTCGAAGATTGTCTTGGTCTCAAATTTCACAGCCAAAGCACGAGTTGAAAGAGCCCAACTTTACCTCGCCGACAGCGGCGTCAGCCCGCACAGGGTCCCTGAATACAAGACCGCTGCGTGCACGAAGCCGCCTCTAAATACTGCATCACCGCCTGCGTCACGTGGTGAGCGGCCACTCACCTGCCGTGAACGTCTCCAGCTCGATATCGGCGACGTTGCGACGGGGTGCGGCGCGCGGTGCGCCGCGCGGTGCGCCGCGCGGCGGCGGCAGAGGTGGCGGCGCGCTCCGCCCGCCGGCCGGGCGGTACTTGTCCTGGGGGCGCGGCGCGACGCGGCCGACCGCCGGCGGCAGCGAGCGCCGCCGCTGCGCTACCTCCGGCACGCTGAACGTCCGCTCCAGCGAGGCGCGCCGCGCCGGCTTGGCCGCCGGCGGCGGCTTCTGGCGCAGCCGAGCGCGCTGCTGCAGCTTGCGCGCGCCCGGCGACGGCGTGGAGGTGCGCGAGCGCACGGGCTTGAGCTCGGGCGGGGACTCAGGCGCCAGCAGCGCCTGCTGGTCCGACTGGCTGGGCCGGCGGCGCGGGATCTCGCCCGGCCGCGCCGCGAAGCGCACCACCTTCTTCTGCTTGGGCTGGCGGTCGCGGGCGGCGCGCTCCACTTCGACGCCCGAGTCGGTGCCGGCGCTGCGCGGCGACTGGCCGGCGAGCTCGATGGTCTCCTGGAAGTCGTCGTGCTCGGGCCGTCGCTCCAGCAGGTTGTCGACGTCGGCCAGCTCCTCGCTCGGCAGCGACAGGTCGCACAGGAAGATCTCAAACTCAGGATCCGGCGCGAAGCTGCCCTTCAGGCTGAGGTCGAGGCCGAGGAAGCGCATGTTAGAGCGCTGCGTGGCCATGTTCATGACGCGCAGGTGCAGGCCGCCGGCCGTCGAGAACAGCACCGGTGTCTTGTAGCTGGTCACGTGGTTCTGAGAGCGGCTCTTGCCCGACTTCTTGGCAGAGGTGGACTTCTTCACGTACGCCGAGATGGGCCGCACCGAGGCATAGTCGTCCACCGTGTTTGGCCGGCAGCAGAACACCAGACCCTCCATCTTCTTCCGGAAGTCCTTGTGCAAGGTGAGCACGACGGTGGGGAAGAGGATGAGGAATACGTAGCGGAGCCACATGAAGATGGGTTCGTGTATGCCGCCGTTGGGCACCATCGGCAATGCCTCCTCCACCGTGCTGTCCTCGTCCGCGGTGGCGTTGGTGGCCATGGTGGTGTTCAGCAGGCGCTCCTTGCGGACGGCTTTTAGCTGCTCTCCGAGCGCCGTTACGTTATATGAGTTGATGGCCTGGTCCAAGTGGATGGTGACGGCCTGCGGCAACACGAGCAGCACGTACAGGAGCAGCACGGCCAGCACCATCAGCGTCGGGCCCTGCTCGGTCTTCAGGTGCGGCGTCACGAACACCTGCTCCGTGTATGCGAACGACCGCTTCAGCTGCAGCTTCTTCAGCTGCCGCCGCTCCCGCTTGATGATGCGGGCCACCTGCACGATGCACGTGACCATGCAGAGCAGCGGCAGCACGTAGCCGAAGACGAGCATCAGCGCCCCGTACACCGTGTCCCTGTCGTCGTCGATGGCGCTGCAGCCGTAGCGGCCCTCGTGTGGGAACGCTTGCAGGTAGCCGCACAGCATGGGCGACGTCAGGCCCAGCGCCGCCGCCCAGCTCAACACGATCGCCACGTTGCGCCGGGCGGTGGTCATGTACTTGCGATAGTTGTGCAGGTGCTTCATCATAAGCGCGCGGTCCAGGCAGAGCAGCAGCGCGCTGAAGCTGGTGACCACGAGCGTGGCCTCGCTGATGGCGGCGTCCGTGCGACACTCATACACGCCCAGCGGCCAGCGCTCGCGCGCTGCGAACGCCGCCGACAGCGGCACGCTCACCACCGCCTCCAGCACGTGCGCGACGGCCAACGAGAGCACGAACAGGTTGAGCGGTTTCTTCTTGAGCGTGTAGCTGGCGGCGACGGTGACGATGAGCAGCACGTTCAGCAGGATGGCGCCGATGCTGAGGAGCGCCAGGAAGGCGGCCACCACGTAGTGGATGTCGGGGCACTCGACCACCTCTTGGCGCAGCTCTGTCCCGTTCTCACCCTGGACGATCGTCACCAGCACGTCGCCGCACTCGGCCATGACAGGCGGTTCGGCGCCGCCGCTCACGCCGGTCTGGACGCGGTCGCCGTCCGCAGCGCTGGTCGCATCTCCGCGAAGGAAGCCCTCGCCGCGCGTCCGCCGCGATTCGCACAGCTGATCTACTGCCGCGCTGCCGTCGCCGCCGCTCGGCGGCGGCCTGTTGTCGTGTGTTTGCCTCGTCGCCAGGGTGACCAGCGCCGGTCGATCTGCCCCCGCCGGCCCGCGTGCGAGGTCGATACGTGGCGTCTCCGGCGAGCCGCCAGCGGGTCATGCGAGCGACCGAGCGGCCGCCGCCTGGCCCCCTACCGCATGCGTGTCAAGGTCGCGCGGCGGCGGACACTGGGACGAGGCCATCGGTTCGGCGGCATCGGGACCGGCGGCGGGCGGCGCGTGGCCGGCCGGACAGGGGAGACGGGGAGCGAGGCGCCGCTTGCATGACCAGTCCCCTCCCCCTCCCCGACGTTAGCCGGTCTGCAAAAACAGCACGGTCGATTGCATGGGTCATGGGGCGACACCTCGGATGTTTTGAGTGGGCAGCCGCCGCAAGGTCAATGCACGGGCGCTGTTTGCTTTGGGAGCACGCCCAGGCCAGGCGAACGTAGCACTAATTAAACACATCTGAATGCCAGTCTCGTTGCGTGATGTTTTTGCTTGACGCCGAAAACGAGGCGCTATGCAATTATTTACCTGAAAAGGCAGCCCGTCAACAAGGCACCCAGTCGTCATGGTTTAGATGAGGTTGCTGCCTGTTTAACGAGTACCTTCGCTGGATGGGCGGCTGGTAGCTAACCCGTCGCAGGCCTCCGTTGGTCAACGAACTCCGAGGCTACGGCCGAAGCTGAAAGCACCACTGCATTCCCATTGTGATTTTCATGCCCCAGCACGCAAGCGATACATGACGGCGTTAGCTTGCCCGGGTGTCTCTCCATCCAAACTCATCACAGGGCTTGTAACAAAACATTTATTGTAATGACGACTCGCTTCAATTACACATCACTCGGGCAGGTACATCTATCTAAGACGGCCAGAACGAGCGCACTGCCGCCAGCCAGCCGTAACATGGTCACAAAATGCTGCGCGCAATGGTATGTTCCAATCTGAATACAGTCCCAATGAATTTCAACGGCGCCGAGCCCTCTGCATCACAAAACGCTCAACAGCCCGCGGCTGTCAATGATTCGAGTCGGGAAGCGAAGAGCTGTGGTCAAAAGAGGCCGGCCCCGTAACAGCAGATTGTCGGCACATCTGTCACGTTCCACGCCGCTACAAACCACCGCGCGAGCAACGAGCATTGTCTACCGCCATCCGACGGCAAGCAAAGGTGCCACTATAAAGCGTGTGTCAACTCCTGATCAACATCCTGGCATGAACACCTCCGACAGCAAGAACTATCCGATCGTCTATGCGTCTAACTACCTGATCTGCATTACGTCCCACCACATAACTGTTTCGTAAAACATTGTACCAATCTGATCACTCAAAGCCGACATCACACTCAACCAAACACAGAAGAACGCCATTACTGTTCCTGCGGACCCATGCGGCAGTCAGGCCTGCCGCCCCAGCCGGAGCGGGTCGCGAGTACCGCGCGCGGTCGCGTCTCTAGACGCCGGGGCGGGCCCGCCCGGTCCCGGCCCCCGCTCGCGCCGACACTCTGTCGAAGACCGGCCGACAGGTCACACCCCTCGGCCCGGCACGAGCCGGGTCATCAGCGGCCGCGCCGTCGGCGCCGGCAGGGCCGCAGGTCAGGTCGGTGTCGAGGGCCTGAGTATATATGGCAGGGAAGCCACACCGTGGAAAAGGGAAGGCTACAGGCAGGGTCGGAGGGGAAACCGCCTGAAGCCGCATAAAGTGCAGCGGTTTAAACCACTAAAAGGCTACGAATAGTGGGCTACCTAAGGACCTAAAGTCTAATAAGGACTGCAATTCTGAATGGGGCTTGGTTAGCACGACAATTAGCAGGTGCGAAAGGTATTACAGGTGTGTCAACGATAAAAAAAACCGATTCGCATGCCTCTCGAAGACATATAAGCACGTACAGTTCAAGGACAGCACACCACAAAATAGCGCATGATGCAATTTCATGCGGACGACAACCTGAGGGAAACGTGCCCGGAACCGAAAACGTTCAAACCAGCGTAATGTCCACGCCTTATTTGCGCCGCAACTTAAGTTACAATATGTAACTGCCGTTGCTGAAGTGAGCAGCCTACGACTCGATGCAAGGGTCAGTATTCACTTCCACCTAGTCATGAGGACAGAGTAAGCTAAGCTACTTGAAATGAGGTAGTAGGGATCAGGTCCGCCAACAATCGTTTTTGATTGACATATGTGCGGTTGCAGTGACGATATTTCAGGCGTTCGGAAGTTGTCAAAATTACAGTGCCACCACGAATTTTGGTATTGCAACGTCAAAAACCTTACAATTGGAATATCTTTTTTGGAATTTTCTTCCCTTTCATAGAGCAATGAAGCAATATTTGGCGGGTCCAATCCCTTCCACGCTCAGTACAAAGTAAATGCAACATGCGTTATAACAAAGGACGTACAAATGTAAAATCATAGCATGTTTGATGTTTCATTAGGCCGCAACGATTGATCAAGTGGGCGCTCTTCACGTCATGCAAGGCGCTCCATTGGAATCTCGCTATCAAAGGCAATGACGGAGCATACAATACAGCTACAAACGAAAGCGCAGCTACCGTCGGGCAGGGGCATGGTTTCCTCTTAAGTTTGGGGGGGAGGGACCTCCCACCTTTGAGAATGAAGTGGGTCACATTCATGGCGAGTCCCGTATTTGGCTATTTTTGGGGTTGAATTCAGCCGTGCTTCACTGCTAAGCCGCCCTCCCCAACTTATTTTGTGAAACTGCACTCCATCGCCGGGGAGGGATAGCCACTCAAAGAGAATGGACCGCACTTAGATCAGTCGGGGCTTACAGTCGGGAGTTACATCAAACGGTGGGCACACCACTCCTCTTTGGTAACAGGGGGCGAAGCAGCGGCACTACCGCGGCGACGCAGCGGCGGCGGCTGGCGCATCCTTCGCCACGGAGACAGACGCGTTCAGCCGCGCAGCGGCGGCCCGCGTCTCCACGGGAGACAGTTGCTCGTCGCGTCTCCCCAGCAGCGAAGGCAGCGTCTCTGGCGGGCGCCGCTACGTGCCGTGCTGGCCGCCGCCGCCGGGACGGACGTGGCGGCGGCGGCGCGTCACCGTCGGCGGCTCGGCCTCCGTCACGTTCAGGCCGTACTGGGCCAGCGCCTGCAGCATGGGCAGCGGCCGGCGCAGCCACGCCGAGCGACGCTTCAGCGCCTGCCCCTGCTCAAAGAGCCGCTCCACCCGCTGCAGGTACGGGTAGATCTTCTGCTCGACCCACTCGGCCACCGTGAAGCGGTCCATGACGCCTTTCAGTGCTGCCTTGGCCGAACCGATCGCCGACGTCAGCGAGTACTTGGTGCCGTAGAACATCTCGAGCACCTCGTCCACGCGGAACGGGTTGGTGTAGTTGCGGTTGACGTTGTACTCGGTCATCCAGCCCTTGCTCTCGCCGGCCGTCTTCAAGAACTCCTCCGTCTGGGTGATCATGTTCTTGTAGCGGCCGACGTACTTGTAGAACGCCACGCCCGGGAAGCGGCAGAAGGAGAAGAACGAGAAGCCCTCCGGGTCCTCCTCCAAGTCGAAAAACGGGTCATCGTCGGCGGCGCGGCAGTGCAGCGCCTCGTACAGCGGCTTGCGCAGCGAGCTGTTGAAGAAGCCGTTGGACGCCGTCACCAGGCCGATAGCCAGCGACGGCACGGCCGCCGGCAGCAGCTCGCACAGCACGGCGAAGTGGTCGTAGCGCTGCCAGCCGGTCAGCACCAGGCCGCGGAAGCCGTCGGTGAACTTGGGGCCCTCCTGGCGCATCACGTCCAGCCAGTTGAGCGTGTTGTCCAGATGGCGGCGCAACGGCGGCACGACCAGAGTCTCACCGAACGCGCCCTTGTACGCGCTGGCCGCCCACACGCGCGGGAACACCTCGGCGAACGCCTCGTACACGTGCCGGCCCGCGAAGCGGTACACGTCCTCGGCGTACACCCACACCATCGGCTCCACCAGCTGACCCAGACCCGAGCGACGCAGCGCCTCGGCCGGGATGTGGCGCATCATGTCGTCCCAGATGAGCGGCGTGACGGCGTGACGACGGCGCACGTAGCGCGCCACGCGCGCCACATGCTCCAGGTACAGCTCGTCGCGCAACCGGTGCTGGCACAGCCGGCACAGCCCCATCTGATACACCTCGTCGCAGCCGATGTGCAGGTACGGCGCGTCCTTGTGCATCTCCATCACCTGGTCCACGATCAGCTCCACCAGCCGGTGCGACTCGTTACGCGAGGGGCACAGCGCGGCCGGCTGGGCGGGCGTCTCGCGTAGGTGCGCGAACGGCTCCAGCTTGAGGAACAGCTCCAAGTGGCCGAACGTCTGCACCAGTGGGATCACCTGCAGGCCATTGCGGCGCGCCTCGGCCAGAATGCGGCGCACCTCGGCGCGGCTGTAGTGGTTGCGTGCCGCCGCGCTGCGCAGCGCGCCCGAGAACGGGAACATGTCCTCCCACTCGATCATCAGGTCCGTGCCGCCCAGCCGGCTGATGATGGGGAACATCCGCGCCAGATACTCGACGGTCGGCGGCGCGCCCTTCAGGTCCACGTGCACCACGCGCCGCTGCGGCACGTACGGCGGCTCGCTGGCGCGCCGCTCGCGCTCCTCATCCTCCTGCTGCTGTTGGCGCTGCCGCTGCGTCTGCTCCACCTGCGCCCGATCCAGCGGCTCGTCCGGCGGAGCGGCAGCCGCCGCCGGCGCCGGCCGCCCGGCGGCCACCGTGTCCGACTGCTGCACCATGGCGGCCAGCGCGGCCCTCACCGGAGGGTCGTCCGGGTGCTCCCTGCGCGTGCCATCCTCGTTGAAGAGCAGCGGCGCGGCGGGCACGACGGGCACGGCGGGCGCGGCGGGCGCGGCGAGCGCCTCGGGCTGCAGCTCAGCGGGCAGCTCGAGCGGCGCCGCGGCCTGGCGGCGCGCCACCCGCAGCGGCGCCGACTGCAGGCCGGCCTGCAGGTACAGCAGCAGCAGCAGGCTGGCGGCCGTCAGCAGCACCAGCAGCGGCCGCCAACGGCGCCACAGTACGCCGGCCAGGGGCTGCGACGGAGGGCGGCGCGGTGAGCGGTGTGACAGGACGGGCTGGCGCCGGCTGACGGCCGGGTGGCGACAAGCGCCCGCCGCCGAGGCGCTGGCGCTTAGAGGCAAGCAAAGAACGCTTGGTATCATAGCGGGAGGGACCGTATCTCAGGAGATCGGAGATCGAGGAGCACGTCTGAAATGACGGCAGCAAGAGGCGAATACCCTATGGTTTTGATACACACAGGATGCGCTTGCAATGAGAAAAAACAACTTCAAAATTTCGCGCTCAAATAGTACACGGACATTTCTTGGCTAACCAAGCTGGGCACTTCTTGGCAAACCGATCATGAGCAGCGTTTGAAAGAAGAATTAGTCGAACTGAGAGTTTGCGACGGACTTAATAAGACGTCTGACGGCTACCATCCGACCATCTTAGCAAGAATACTAACGGAATTGGTGAACCCCATGTACCTAAAACACTACGTTGCTTTGTCTAAACCTACTCAGACGTTTGAATTACACACAAAAACTGTCGAATTATAGCGCATGCATTAACAAACACATCAAAAGATATCGGTCTTGAAAGAAACAGTTGTGATAGCTTCTTGCGTTGCACATATTTACTTTGTTACATTATCGCAATTGCTCTGTTTCGCTTTACCATTGTCAAATAGCGGTCGGCGCGCAAGTTACAGACGAATAGTCTGGTGGACCACCGGGAGGTCATGCCATCGGGTGAAGGCGTGCGAAGGCGAAGCCACCAGCTGACCAGACCGGGGGCCATCTGTGGGGTGTGCGCGTGACGTCACCTGTCTACACAGTCTGTGAGGCGCCGGGGACCCTGCCATGGCCCTGCTGGCAGCAGCTGGCGTGGTAGCAGCGGGCTCTGCAGCGGCTGTACGGCGCCAGCGCCACCCCGGCGCCGCCGGTCGGCCCGGTCACGGGCGGCGCCCGCCTCTCCCGGCCGGCGCCGCCCGGTCCGACCCCATCACGGCGGCGCCCGCCTCTCCCGGCCGGCGCCGCCCGGTCCGACCCGATCGCGGAGGCGCCCGCCTCTCCCGGCCGGCGCCGCCCGGTCCGATCCGATCGCGGCGGCGCCCGCCCCTCCCGGCCGGCGCCGCCCGGTCCGACCCGATCGCGGAGGCGCCCGCCTCTCCCGGCCGGCGCCGCCCGGTCCGATCCGATCGCGGCGGCGCCCGCCCCTCCCGGCCGGCGTCGCCCGGTCCGACCCATCACGGCGGCGCCCGCCTCTCCCGGCCGGCGCCGCCCGGTCCGATCCGATCGCGGCGGCGCCCGCCCCTCCCGGACGGCGTCGCCCGGTCCGACCCATCACGGCGGCGCCCGCCTCTCCCAGCCGGCGCCGCCCGGTCCGACCCCATCGCGGCGGCGCCCGCCTCTCCCGGCCGGCGCCGCCCGGTCCGACCCCATCGCGGCGGCGCCCGCCCCTCCCGGCCGGCGCCGCCCGGTCCGACCCGATCGCGGCGGCGAGCGAGAGTGAAAGGAGTCGATGACCCGACTCGGGCGCTTGCGCCACGCAGCCCGCTCGCGCCTACAACAGCTAACCCAGATAGACGACGGCACAGGCGCGGTGCGATGCGGGTCTCACGCCCCTCTCTGCCCAGTGCTCGTCAGCGTGGGCCGCACACCGACTTCTGACACCGGATGCATCAAACAAGGCTGACACCGGATACATCAAACGTCCAAGTTGATGGTGGAATTGACGGTAATGACGAGCCTGAGCGTGCATAGCGCATTGCGGCAATTCGGTAATGCACCGTATTCCATGCGTGGCTGACTACGCCTGGACGTAACGTTGGCGGACCACTGTCACGCGCAAACGCTGCACAGTACGCTAACTCGCCCGCCGAGTCTTTTGTGCGCCCCATGAACGTTATCTCGCCCTTCACTCACGACATCGCCTGCACGCCGCGACCGTGCGTGCCAGGTGAATACGGGCCGCAGTTGCAGCTTGTCCGAGCTGTATGGGACGGCGTGAGAGGACCGGACGGCGAGCGGAAACCGATGGCGACTGCCGCCACCGTTTCCTCGGATGACGTCAGCGGTCGCCGCCGAACGGCCGGACCCGCGCCCCCAGGCAGTGTCTGGTCCGGAGCGGAGTACCGCACACCGCGACTGTTTGTTTCCGTGACGTCACTGCCCAGCGTCAGATGGCTAGGTCTTCGGTAATGGGCTTGGCTCAGAGCTCCGAAGTGACCGATTTGGCTTACATAGAGTCGCTGTAAACAACCACTGGTTCTTCTGGTGACGCCAATGACCTCCACCTAACGGTCGGGCCTCCAGGTAATGGGTCTGGCCGAGAGAGAGAGAGAGAGAGAGAGAGAGAGAGAGAGAGAGAGAGAGAGAGAGAGGGCAAGGGACAGGCGCCAGACTGCTGTTGTCTCCCCTGATGACGCCATGAAGGTCAGCGCGACACGTCCAGACTCCCGTGTGATCGGCGCGTCGCCGCGCGTGACTCAGTGGAGCGCGGACCGCTGCTGACGGCGAGGCGATCTGGGAGCGACAGCCGCGCGCTGGCCCGCCGCCCGGCCACTCTCGCGGGACATGGCGCCGGCAGAGTGAGCACCACCCATGACGGCCGGCCCGCTATACGGGGAAGACGGGCCGCGATCGTCCCACAGTGGAGGTGGACTCCGTACTTATGCATGGGCGTCCAAAGGTCGGCGGTGAAAAATGAGCCCGTGAGCTGCAAGCCGAGAGGAGCCCGATTTAGTCGGTCACTCGCTGGGACCCGGCCAAGATCCGGGCTTGGTTACCTGGGTGTTGGTTACCTGATGTTAGCTCGATCTACGATCTTGGTGAGCTGAGCACCAGCCTACACTCACACGGCATGTACACGCGTTGTATGGCCCACAGGCTCCCTCAATACATGCGATATTCTGATCCGAAACTGGCTGTGCCAGCGCAAACCAGCAGGACCACGTCCTGGTCGGCGGGATCTCCTCAGAGCCGCAGACCGCGGCAGTCTGAGACCAGCGCGGCCCACAGAGTCCTCCGTGCTCACCTGGGCCAGATCGACGATGGACATTATCTGCTCCCACCGGCGGTCGCCGGACACGCCAGCACTTCAGCGCCAGAGGCTGTCCGATGTGGGCGCACCTCCTAAAACGAAAGATAACGGCGGCTGGTCAACATTTGCGAACGCGTACCTGCACTGAAAGGCGCCCAGGCTGACGGCGAACAGTTGGCGGGCTTGAAGTGCACACGCGCGAGCACGTGGCCTGAGCGAGTGCGGTCAAATGGCCGGCTCATGGTGGTCCGGTATGACACACCAGTCCCACAGTGCTGCAGCATTACGGCGGCTTGCAAACTGCGAACCCAGAACAGGACGCTTCGGTAATCCCGTCCGCGCGCTGCTCAGGTCTCGCAGATTCTGTCACTCGATAGGCGGCCAGTTACATACCAAACGATATTAAAGCCAAGCGACGTCTTGTCACGGCTTATGGCCCATGTGAAGTCAGCCTGTTAAGCACGCCCAGACCGCCTGGAATCCTTCCACAGGAGCGTTCATGCTATAGCTGCGGAGCAAATAAAACTGTCTTTCCTCCCCTCCCTTGCTGTCCTTGTATTTGCTGTCATTGCTGTCACTACCAGCGGTGTCTGCGCAGCTGATAATACCACACCAGTCCAATCGTCAAGCCCACCGCACCCGAACCCATGACCAGTGGCATTCTCCCCGATCCGCGCGCCCCGCGGGTGGAGACTTCCGTGTAACGTCCTCCTTCGCGCCACAGCTGCCCCGGTTGCCTCATACGCTCCCCACAGCGGGCCCGGTTGCATCATACGCTCCCCACAGCAGGGCTGAGCCGGGCACTGCCTGCCACCGCCGGCCGAGCGGCCGCGCTCTCGGCCCGCACCTTACCGAAACCAGACCAGATGAGTCGGTTCACAGACCCCTGTGGCACGGCACGCCGCTCAGCGGGGATCTGGCTCGGTGAAGCGGACGTCACGCGAACGCCTCGACAGCGAACCCCCACCCGGGATCAGGTCACAACAGGCCGAGCCGGGGGCGGGGCGCGTGCTCACGCCTACTGGCCACCCCGAGCGTCACCCGCGTCTGGTACGACTGGGTGCCGTTGCGCCGCGGCCCGGGTCCGCCGCCAGGGCCGCGCGGCCGGCCCGAGACCAGCACGCTCGTGGTCTCGGCCCCATGCCGATCGGCTTAAGAAGTTGGTCCGCGACCCGGCCGGTCGGTCCCGCCGTACAAGCGGGGGGAGCGGACATCGCAGTTGCTCACTGTACACGCTCCTCACATGAGGCCCCCGCCTCCGCCCCCGCGCGTCTCGCGTCTCCCCACCGCAGCCTCGCGCGAAAAAAAACACCCGTCGACCCCACACCGGCGACAGGGACTCCGGCATTCCATGCTACCATGCACCGCTCTAGCCATGGCCAGCCAAACCACAATTAGCGGCTCTGGCAGCACGGCGGCTCCGGAGAACCCCGGCCGCGGTCAGACCTGCCACAGCAGCCGGCTGGAGGCCGCACCATGGACCGGCTCTGGGGCTCTGGGTCACCGGAGAACGCCGGGCCGGCGACGCCGCGCCGCCCAGCCGCGCGGAACGGACGGTGTCACGAAGGGCACACCGATGCCAAAACGGTGCTAAACAGCCGGTGACAAGGACGCGACCCACCGACGCGGCACGAAGCACCACCGGACAGCGACGGGACGCGGCGCAACCGGACTCCCACGGCACGCGGGACTTACTAGGCACACACCGCCGCGCTCCGTACACGCGCCACACCAAGCGACGACACACCGCACGCGGCCCGCCACCGTGACCGTCCGCCGCGCTCCCGGCCTGCGCGACACCGCGTCACAGCAGCTGCGCGGCCAAGCCGAGCCGGGGCTCGCCGCGGACGGACGCTGGGCCGGCGCGGCGCGGACTGGAGCGGCCGGTCAGCTGAGCGCGGCGCACCCACTGGCGGGGCGGCCCGCCGACCCGGCGCCGCCGGCGGCCGACCGCCGGCCGCGCCGGGCAGACAGACGGCGCCCGGCCGCCCCACCGGCTCACGTACGCGCGCGGGGCATGTGCTGGCCCGGCGGCCCGGCGCCGCCGGGACAAGGACGTGCACGTGCGGGACAGATACGGCGGCCGGGCTGCCAGGGCGCGTCGCTGCCGCCCACCGCGCTAGGTTACGAGCTGTTGGATGTCCGCTGGATGGAATGGCGCCTGCAGCGGCGAGTGCGGTCGCTCAGCAACGATAAGGTTCACTATTAGCGAATGTGGCGATATGATTAAATCTCGTCAAAATAACGCAGTTGAGTTGAACATGACATCCCTTTTGGACTGGGGAATTTAAGACATGTGTGCGGTGCATTTTCTCGATCTTCAGCCTGCGCTACCACGCTCAAGTGCAGATAAAATACCTGATGCAGTTCTACCGAATGTGTGCCTCACGTGCACCTGATATTTCATGCAGGGATGAACGTTTCCAACAACATCGGATGCGCAATTCAGTCTTGTTCTTACATGACAGCAAAACTCTACCCTTGAAACCTGTGGATCAGAAAAATCACACGCGACGTCGGTATGCTCACGAATGCTTCTTCTTGGCGTCTCCAAACAGGCTAAGTCTGTTAGCCACTCCTGTGGCCCCATGTATGGATGGAGAAGAGGTTGTTCGATTACACGCTTTTGTTGCACCATGCTTCCCACAGGTGGTAAATCACCTTGATATCTGTTATTTTGCTACAAACCTTTGAACGTTTCACACGACTTACGGTTACAGCCCTTACTCTTTTCGATTCCTGGCCCAGTGCAGATCGATCAAGCGGCACCTGCACCTGACCGCTAAAACACTCACGCCAAAACGAGGCCGAGGACATGCAGAAAACCGGTCAGACTGACTACCAATGACTCTCAACCTGACCCCTCAGCGGTCAGCTGACACGAAGGGGTCCACATCGCGGGCAGCAGCAGCACTCAGCCTGGCCGAGCTGACCAACAATCCCGACGACCGCCACGGCACAAACACGTGTTAAACAGCGGAGCCGCCGACATAACCAGAGATTCGCAGCAGTCACGGAAGCCAGCCCAGCTGCGTCATCGGGGCACGAAATTCGACTCGGAAACCTACAGCTCACTTGCAAATACGACGCAAATGTCGGCGACCGCCAGTACAGTGGGAACTACGGCATGGAGGCCCAGCCTCACCTCACTTCAAAGTACGACACGGAGGCCAACAGGGATAAGCATAGTCTGAAATATGATACGGAGGCTTCCAGCAGTCAAATCAGTCCGAAAAACGACAGGCATGTCCACACCCGTCTGCAGGATAGGAAATAAATAAATAGAAAATGATTAATAGAGACATAAACAACTGAATGCCGATTAACAAATACGCAATACGTTACGGGGACCCCCAGCCATCAGCAGGGTTGAAATACAACATGGACACCCACAGCAGTCTGGAAGATCCGCAATACGACACTGAGACCCACGGCCGCCAACAAGGTCAGATATACGACATGGAGACCCAAAGCCGCCCGCATAGCCAGAAATACGACATGGAGACCCACAGCCGTCAGGAGAGTCAGAAATACGACGTGGGCCCACAGCTGTCGGATCAGACGAAAATACCACACGAAGGCTCACAGTCGTCAGCACAATCCCAAAAAACCACACGGAGCCTGCGAGCCGTCAGTCAGCACCAAAGCCCAACATACGCCACAGACACCCAAAGCTACTGACAGTCTAAATACAAGACACGGGTATCTACAGGCAGGGCGAAGTTTCGCAAAGAGTTGGGGGGGGGGGGGGGGACTGAACAGTGAAAAATGACGCAAGCTATCCCCAAAATAGCCAACAATGGGGCCTCTCCCTGGATTTCGCCCACCTCCATCTCAAAGATGGGGAAGGGGTGGAGCGACCCCCCCCCCCCCCTCAACTTAATAGGAAATTACACTCCTTGCCAGACCAGAGCCACCAACACGGTCCGCGACACGTTTCGGAGGCGCCCAGCCCGCTCACCCGGACACGATGAACCGCTCTCAGCCCGCACACTCACGGCAGAGTCAGCGGCGCAGAGCTGGACCGCCCGCGCCGTCCGACACACCGGTCGGGCCCGCTCCGTCAGACAGAGCGCGGTCGGCCGACTCACGGCGCGCGGCGCGCGGCGAGTGACGCTACGACGCTGGTCGCGTCTCTCGTCTCGGACACGACCCCGGCCAACCGGTCAACGGCGGCCGGCTCAGCGACTTCAGCCGGCGACCCGCTCCCACTGCACAGGTCACGTCGGCGGCCGGAGCGTTGACCCCATCCGCTCCGGGGTCACGTCGGCTGGCGGCGGAGCTGGCCGCGAGTCAGCCCGTGGACCGGTCCGCCTCAGGTCGAGGCCCAACAGCACAGGCAGCGCATATGGCCAACGCATATCTAGACAACGGACACTGCGTCCATGTCACAGGCGTCCAAGCCTCTTGCGCTCCTAGGCTCATTCTGAGGTTCTTGCATTCCAGCTTTATTTGGCCCAAAAGACCATTGTGACCTTGGCTCATATCAAGTCACCAAAATGTCACCATTTTGCTGGTGATTTTCAAACAGTTGTATGCCATGTGGGTTTGCTGGAATCCCCTGGCACGAAACTTTACCATTTGAACCAATAAAGTCGCCATTGCCGTGGCGACGTACCATTGCCGTGGCGACGTGACCAAGTGTCATAATATTCAGATGAAAATACCCCTGGACCCCACAATCGCCCCAAGAACTCCACGCTCTTGGTGAGACCAGCATTTCAAATATGTACATGCACCATGTAGGCATCGCTCCATCACATGCAAAGTACATTTTCTCCCAACCCCTACCAGCGGTAAGAGGTCGACACTCGCACCCCAAAAATGAAATGACGAGCATCATTCAGCGCGCCACTCTTTTCAGCTATCTTACTCTGGACAGCAACGATTCTCCTGTTCTCGAGCCAGAAGTCCCGTGTCCTCCCCCCCCCCCCCCTTTTTAGCGCCACACACAAGAAAACAGGGAATGCTAGTTACACGTCATATTAATTTTTACATTCCATTTTATAGGTAGCCATATAGCATGTACTATGAAAAGGAAACGGGTCATCTGGCACATAGTAGCACAAAATTGAACAGCGGTGGTGAAAAA